GCTTATGGGGGTGTTTTTACCTCTGTGGGGAAAGTAACATGGCCGTCTTCAGTATTCTGCACTTTGACTAAGAGTTTGAGGGGCATCATTTGCGGCTTTGACCCAAGCAACAAAAACTCCTTGAGTTAGCCCATTACATTGCTTCCATCTGGTAATCCAAAATAACCTCTAAATAATTTCAGGATATGACCTGGAGTGGTGGTTGAGTGAACCCTGAGCCTCCTTAATGCTGGTACTTCACATGAATGATAAAACAGTGCTTGTAATAGTGGACCCTTACCCAACTACTTTAAAATATTTTTAAATACTTGTTAAACAAATATCTGTGGGGGTGCGCACATGAATATTGCATTTATATGCTGCTCCTCTACTCCTAAAGGGGAGGAGGCTGGAGCAGTGGAGCTGCGCTATTCCCAGTCAGCACTCAGCCTCCTTCCTTCACCATCCCTAAATCTACATTAGATGAAATGCAGGATGCAAGGTGTGATGACAGAGGTGCCTGCCATGCCTCCTTCCTTCTATTGCAGGGGTCCTCAGACTTTTTCAGCAGGGGGCCAGGTGGAAGGTCCTGGCAGTGGATGTGGGCTCGTGAGGGGGCGGGGGCGGCGTGCAGCGAGGCGGGGGCGTGCTTGCTTGGAGATGGTTTTCTCCAAAACAATCTTCACATGAGCAAGCTCCCACCGGGCGCAGGTGCGGTGAGTCCAAAACCTCTGAGGCGGGCCGGATCTAGCCTGCGGGCCGTAGTTTGAGGACCCATGTTCTATTGGATGCTCATATGCCTCTGAATTTGGAGGCTTGTATACAGTCTGCCATGAGTAGGATAAGTTTTCATATGTTTGCTTTTTTCTTGAAATGTAAACCATGTAAGGGAAGCACATACTATTATTTTTAAATTATATGTGTATTCCAGTAAAAAAGGCTATGTAATACAACTTTTAAATCCCATTAAATTCCACCTTTCGATTATTTCAGGTCAAATCCTTGTGTATTGAGCCAACAAATTACCACAGACTACTTTTTTTTTAAGTTTTTTTGTTGACTAAGTACAGTTAACAACATACTAAATTAGGTCTTCTTGAGCATCAGAAAATGTTCCTATGCAAATAAACCTATGAAAGTCGATCCAATTTGCATTGGAGAGGTTTCCTGGAAAACTTCCCAATTCAACATTTTCCAGAAAAACCCACCTCACTTCTTCAAAGAGTCTTTGGATGCCACAACACGTGCTGCTATCTTAATATGGAAGTTCCTTTCACATCTGGTTGTTAGGCTGCTGCATCAATACCAGAAGGGAAATTTGTATTGAAAAGCATTTAATCTTTGGATGTGCATCTGTCTTACATATCATTTCTTGTGCTTGGTTCCTTTTATAACAGCAGCAGAACAACTGGAAATGGAAGACCTTTTCATGTTCAAATGGATACTGCATCAGAGTTCTGTAACTGAGGCAGCTTTTTGACAGCAGAAACAGTGTATAAAATATGCACACATAGCTTCCACAAAAGAGAAAGAGTTTAATGCGTATCATAATCCAGGGCAAGCTGTGTACTGCTTAACATTTCTTTTTCTCCAAAATGCAACATTTAAATATATATAGTACTGTGACTTAATTCCATGCACAGTCAGTAATAAAGTTCCCTTCACCAGTGAAGAGGCAAGCAGAAATGTCCAGCTTGTATGGATGTAGATTTTGAAATGCATCTATGGCTCAAAGGTACAGAAATAGCATGCCTAGGGGGGAAATTTATTCTACCTATCTTTTCTCTTTCAAACTAGTATGCATATTTTTAAGAGCACAGTTATTCTTCAAAATTCCTACAGCAAATTTTGGGATACAGTGTTCCAACAAAAAAATACATACAAAAATGCATATATTACAGGAAGGTAGCCACAAAAATGTACATATTAAGGAACATAGTGGACAAAATGTGTTATACTGTGGAAATTTGCTTACAAAATACTTACATTTGGCAAAATTACGTTGAAAAATGCATGCATTAGGATAAGTATGTGACTTTTTGTGTAGATTTAAAAACATCTTATATGGAATGGGAGAAATGCCATTTCACACTGGAAAAATAAGAGAGTGATAGAAACTAAAATGAACAGATTTCCTGTCTGCAGTTTGCTGAAGCTAGGTGAATTCATTTCAGATTTTGCTACAGCAGTTTATACTGTGAAAGAAGCAAGCAACTTCTCACTTCAGTGACTGTGCTGTCTTTTCCACAGCAAAAAACAAAAACCAATGTTCAAAGTGCCATGCTCCGTGTCTTTTGTGTGCATGTTTCTTTATTATCTTAAGCATTAGCCTGATCTAATCATTTTGTTGAGCGTGTTACATTGAAGAAGATTGTTGGAGATAGGTTTTCCTTCAAGTGGCAATAATTATATAAGTGTGTACCCACACCTCCACCTATCTCCTGGACTGGAACTTGGCAACATTTGGGAAAGAAAGTAACATGACATTTGAGGTAACAGTTTAGTTTGATTGTTGGAACACCTGATTCAGAATCTTGAATAGAAGATGTGATGGCTCTCTTTCACTCTGCTAAGGAAATGAAAAATTCAAATAATTTGCCACTGCTGTTGCCAGTTCTGGGAGGAATAACAACTTGAAATGGATCATGATGCTTTATCTCTTGAAAGTCTTTATTAAAAGTTCTGTACTGTCAATATCTTAGTTTCAGCTGAATGACTTTCTCAAATTAAAATGCAAGTTCAATAATTTAAGGATAGCATTCTAAAATATAAGAACGGGAACATTCAGGATCCCTTGAGTGTGTGAAAAATCTAATAATTCTCATTGTACAGCACATTAATTGTATAACAGGCACATCACTACTTTGCAGTATTTTGTGACTATTGCAGTGGAAAACATTCAGATGAGATTCTATTTTATACTTGATTAAGAAAGGAAGCTCTTAATAGGGGCACTGAAAATACATGATTCTTTTTTTCCCAAGTTGGAAAAAAAAGTGCTTATTGGCAGTTGCAAAAGAATACTCCAGTAAAGCAAGCATCTGACAATGTGGATTATGTTGGATGGGAGGTGGAAAAAACGTGACTTTGGGAGCAATTGAGATTGTAGTCTTAAACTTACTTTTCTGGGACTAAATCTCTGAGATCTATGGGGTTTATTTTTGAATAGGCATGTGCAGTATTGTAGGATAAGCCTATTATAATCAATGGGAAAGGATTTACAATAGGTTTGTCTCTTCTTTAGAGTGAGAAGCTGTGTGCATTTAAGCTACTTTTTCTCATCTCCTCCCTACCCTACAATCAGTAGAAGAGTCTTTTGTGTGGAAGAATTTGAATCCAGAATGGTAGTTAATCTGGGTCTCTGCTTTTGAATGGGAAGTGCTAAATATTTAAGGGCTCTTAAATATTTTAAATGGGAACGATGCACAATTATTTATTTATTTCATTTTTATACTGCCTAATAACGAAAGGCTCTCTGGGTGGTTAACAAAAGTTAAAAGTTAAAAACATGTAACAAAGTTAGGGACAACATATGAACAATAAAAACCACAGCAGTTGTAATGAAATTGGTAGAGGTACAGCAACAGTACAGAATAAATTGCAGTATTAAAACTAAGATTAAAAAGTTAACTGTTAAACTACTGGAATAATAAAAAAGTTTTGGCCTGGTGCCATAACTGAAAAGTCCCTTCTGGTAGCCATCCCCCCTACTTCCTTTGGAGGGGACTCCCAGAGAAGGACTTCAAAAGATGACCTTAGGGCCCGGGTAGATACATAAGGATGAGGTGTTTCTTCAGATAACCTGGCTGCAAACTGTTCAGAGCTCTAAATGTTAATGCTAGCACTTTGAATTGGGCCTGGACTTCAGCTGGGAGTCAATGCAGCTGAAAGAGTACTCATGAGCCAGTCTTCATTAACAACCTTGCTGCCCTGTTTTGAATCAGTTGAAATTGCTGGACCTCTTTCTGAGGCAGCCTCACATATAGTGCACTACAGTGGTTACCATTAATGTCATTGAAAATGTAAGTCTAATTCCAGTTAGAAAAGAAAAAGGAAATAGAGGATTGGTATGATGGGATAGGAAGGAGGAGGAAGCCAGACTATTGTGCATTCCTCATTCTATAACTGTTGTTAGGAGTTTGAACATTTCCATTCTTTGTACTAAGCCTTGAATTCTCACAAAGCACAAGCATCCGTTGAATTTTTTTAATGCCTTCAATATTCATGTGAGAAAAGATTTAACATGATAGTGGGATATTTAAATGCTAAATTATGCTACAATATGAAATATTTGACATGCAGCAGGGGCAGAAATATCCACAGAAATAAATCTAAGGGTGAGTTGGCATGATATACCCTACAAATAAACCACACAGTGTGGTTTGTTCATGGTATAACCCATGGTGCACTTAACAGATTATTGGGTTCACTGTGGGTTGTGCCCCCCTCCTTCCCCCTTAGCCCTCCAAGAGGTATTGCAGGCAACTTTGCATCTGATCTACCTTGTGGGGGGCACTGGGAACTATGAGGTAAAAATAAAATCCCGTAAAAACTCAGTGCAAAGTGAGATAGGTTGCTGTCCCTTTTCCAAGCAAATATCCTTCAAGGTATTGCTTTTCCTTGACAACTACCAAGTGAAGACAAAGTAGCCTGTTTCTGGACTCAGTCATTATCCATGGTTGGAGCTTGGTGCATTTTGACAGCAGACACTTAGCCGTTCTCAGACCTTTTATTTTAGAAAAAGATGGTCTGTGGCCTGAACTCCAGGCCATTTAATGTGAGCCAACCATATCATAGCGAGACAATATTGTCCTTTTAAAATGTAAAAGATTAGTTAAACACCTGTTGTTTCCAGGCAAGAAATTTTAAAGTAAGCTTTTTTTACTCCAATTTTTTAGAAACTGTAGGAATGGGGCAGTTGCTTTGTGGCATTGTAATGAATGAAAATTAAGTTCAAACTGGAAGTTCAGCTATTTCTACTTCCTTTTACCATGTCCTTACTTTTTTCTCTCTGTTTATAGGTAGGAGGAGACAAAGAGTGCATCGTCCACGCTCTCCAATATTGGAAGAGAAAGACATCCCTTCTCTTGAGTTACCTAAATCCTCAGAGGACTTAATGGTGCCCAGTGAGCATATTATGAATGTGATTGCCATCTATGAGGTACTTCGGAACTTTGGCACTGTCCTTCGCTTGTCACCTTTTCGTTTTGAGGACTTCTGTGCTGCTTTAGTAAGCCAGGAGCAGTGTACACTTATGGCGGAGATGCATATAGTGCTTTTAAAAGCTGTTTTACGTGAAGAAGATACTTCGAATACTACCTTTGGACCTGCTGACCTCAAAGATAGCGTTAATTCAACATTGTATTTCATAGATGGGATGACGTGGCCCGAAGTTCTTCGGGTATATTGTGAGAGTGACAAGGAATATCATCATGTTCTTCCTTTTCAAGAGGCAGAGGACTACCCTTACGGACCAGTTGAGAATAAAATTAAAGTTCTGCAGTTTTTAGTGGATCAGTTTCTTACAACAAACATTGCTCGTGAGGAATTAATGTCAGAAGGTGTGATACAATATGATGACCATTGTAGAGTTTGTCACAAACTGGGGGACTTGCTTTGCTGTGAAACTTGTTCAGCTGTGTACCACTTAGAGTGTGTGAAACCACCTCTTGAAGAAGTACCAGAGGATGAATGGCAGTGTGAAGTTTGTGTGGCACATAAGGTGCCTGGGGTAACGGACTGTATTGCTGAAATCCAAAAAAATAAACCCTACATTCGACATGAACCTATTGGATATGACAGAAACAGGCGGAAATACTGGTTCCTGAACAGGAGGATTGTTGTGTAAGTAAATGCTTCATTTCTTTGCCCATTTTCATACTGGCATACATCCTTCTAATCTGCTTTTCATCCATATTTGTTTCATTTGGGTTCACAATTTCTTGCATTGACTTATTTGTTGAAAAATACCAGCCACATGGTTGCATTATCTTAAAACCTATTGTTTGTGCTTTAGGAATATTGCTGTGCCAATGACAAACTTGCTTGGATTGATAAAACTGTTTGCTATCAGTGTTTTCTTTGCAGGTAATATCCAGGGACCATGGATTTGTATGTGTTGTTTATTAAAAGTATTTTCGTGCTGCTCCATGTCCAAAAAGATTCCAGAGCAATAAACACTATCAGATTAAAACAAAAGAGTAAAAACAATACATTAAAAGTATTTAAAAACAAAATAATCAAAAGGCCCTGGCTGATAAGTAAGAAAAGACTTCCCAGAATAAGATTGTCTTTAGCAGGTGCCAAAAAAACCCACAGTATTGGGGTCTCCTGAGGCAGGGAATTCCATAGAAATTGGGCTGCTACCCTGAAGCCTTTTCTGATGGTCTCAGTGACTCAGTGACCAGGCAGATTGGTACGGAAAAGGGCATTTGCTCCTAGTCCCAAGTTGTTCGGAGCTTTGTACACTAGTAGTAAAATCTGGCTAGAAAGTGAATAGGTGGCCAGTGCAGTTCCTTCAGCAAAGGTTGTTGATTCTTTCCTGGCAGTAAGGTCTTCATTATATTTTTCTGAAGTGGTGGTAAGATGTTGAAGTATTGCAAAATGCTTATTCAAGAGTGATTTTTTTCATTGCTACTGCTGCTTGTTTTCAGGGGCACTTCATGATTAAAGAAATGCCTTTGTTAGTAGCAGTATGACTTCTATTATAAACTATAACTTTGGATAGAAGACCTGTAGCTCTAAACAAAAGGTAGAGGTTTCTGTTCTACTTCTTTTAGCCATGATTGGCCAGGTTGAATGCACAGGTTAGAGGAAGCAGTGCGGTGAGTCCTGCCGCACAGTGGCAGGAGCCAGATCTGGCTGTTTAAGCCAGTGCTGCATACTCACTGATGCTATGCAGAACTGCACAGTGGTATCAGATAGAGGGAGGATACAGGGGAACTTGGACAGCTTGTTATGCTTGATCCTGCTTGGCAAGCTAGTATAAACTTACACCAGTTTCAAGGATGCTTGTTTGGTTAAGGGTGTGTGAGGAATCTGTTTGGAGGCGGGGATTCGTCAGAATCCCTGGGCTTGGCTTCCTGGGCTCTGGTCCACATTACAGTAGCCCTGAGTCTGAATTCCTGGCACGCATATCCAATGTTTGTGGGGTGCTCACTAGGAATTCAGCCCCCACTCTGAACAAGTAATGTTCTTCTTCTGCTCCTGCCGCCACCACTGCCAGCAGCAAGGAAGAAGGTTGGTTGTCAGGAATGGTGCCTAGCATGCCCGCTTCCAGGGTCCCTCTTCCATACCCAATGGAAGTGGCTGTCATGAACAGTGTTTGTTTGCAGGCAATGGCACCTGACACCTCTGCTTGCAGCACCCCTGTGTGTCCTGCAGCCATTCTGGGCAACAAAGGCTGCAGGGGGCATCATTGGGGCCCATGAGCATTCGTAGACTTCTTGGCTCAGCTGGGTTTGCAGGAGCAGGGTGAGCATGATTCCAAAGACAGATTCCAAAAGGGTTTGCCCAGTCTTAGGTTGGGCTATTTGGCATTTTCTGAGTGAATTGATTACCTGATTCATTTTCACTAATGGAGATGTTAGATGGTGCTTAGACAGGTTTTCCCTCTAGAAGGTTTATCCTGCTTGTTTTTCTGCAATAACTTTATCAGTAGCTCTGATCACTTGTTATAAAATCCTGCTTGTGATGTGGAGATGGGGATACTTTGACTGTACCATTGATCTTCCTGGGTTGAGTAAGAATGTCTGAAGAGTAACTGTAACTGTGTTTGACTGGCATTTTGTGGAATATTTTTATTTTAATGCTTTTATTACCACATCAGTTATATTAGTGAAATTTATTGTGTTTGCTTGTTGCATGCTGCTTTAGGAGGTTTTTTGCCCTACAAGGTGGCCTACCCTGGGTTCCCACTTGTATGGAATGCTGTAACTGCATTCAACCAAGCTTTGTTAAAACCTTTCTTCAGACTTTCCAGTTCAAGTCAAGAAGGTCAGGGCAGCACTGGAACACATGTCTCTGTCTGTGAATAGGGCCACAATTTATCTATACCTGCTTTAGGGGACTGTCAAGTTTCATACCAGCAGGAAGGTGCAGTAGGAGAAACAGTGCCAGTATTAGAAGTTGAGTTGAGAATAAATCAGTGGGAGGACTAAAATGCTCTGGCATGTGCTCAGAAAGCTGTCAGCAGGCTTGTTGTTATTATTTATGAGCACCATGTTGTGTGTCCTGCACTAAACAAACCGGAAAGGGTTTTCAGCAGTGTTGTCCAAACCAGTAAACCTGGCTTACATCACCCCTTTCACAAACTAGAATTGGAAACCAGGTTTTGATATTTAATTTGAATATTAGTTTGCTTGGAATCAACAAGTCAGCATTGCTGATTTATTGGTTTGTTTAGAAGTATGATAGCAGGAGTAAGAACAGATGGGCTGCATGCTTTAGCATACAACCAGCACCTGATAAGCCAGGATTCGCTGAAGAACCTGCTTCTTGGTCTTTACAAACACTTCCACTGTGAATCTGCTCCTCCTTCCTTCAACCTGAATTCAGCCAACATTCCCCCCCCCCACCCCCACTTCCTCATTTTACTCAGTTTCTAATGTTGACTCTGTTTTGGCCTCCTTTTTCCTTTGGTTTGTTAAAGATAAACTTAGAGAGAGAAAAGCCTAGAGAAAATAAATTATTTCCCAGGCTTTCATGTGTGTTTTGTAGAAATACTTGATTTTTAGTTGGATGAAATATATGTTTATATATGTAACAGAACGGTAGCATATTAAAGTAGATACCCTTCTCTTATTGAAAGCATTGAGTTGATACACAATTTAATCAAGGCCGTGTATATTCTGTTTATATGCTAAAATCATTACACAGCAAGAACTAACACTTTGGAACCTGTATAAGCTATGACAGTGGAGTAGATTTGTTTAATTATCTCTCTGTTAGATTTAAAGATCTTTCCTTTTTTTTTTTTTTTTTTTTTGGCTATTTATACATTGCATGCTGAGTTTGCTGACTGTAGAAGTAAGAATGGAAAAGCTTCCTCCGCCACCTTTGACAATCCAGGTTCTGAGATTTCAACAGACATTCCCCACACATTTTCAAGAAAATCTTTGTAGCTATAGATGTTGAAATTCTGATCAAGATTAATTCTTTATTGTCACATTCTTTTTGTGTGTAGAATTATGGCAGAAGGTTGTTGTTTTTAAAGCTAGCTACCTATATAAATGACAGGTAAACTCACAAGAAACAAGATATTTCAATTTAATATATAAAAAGCTTTATCTAATGTGGTGGTAAATCCTCTTAATTGTTTAAGAACACTGACACTCTGTTGTAGATATTGGCTTTTCACACTGTGTATTCGTGCAGTGAAACCTCATGTAAGTATATCAAGCATGAAGGGTCTCAGTGTATATGCAGATTATATGCTAATCTTTATTTAGAAAGGGCCTTGTAATTTGAGGTGAAGCTTCTTTTTAGTGCTACCTAGTTCTGTGAAATCCTGCATTGATATGTAGACATGTGTTACTGTTAATATAGTGGTTACCAAAATGGCACTCTGAATAAAGCCTTCACATCTTGATAGGTTCTGTGGATACCTGTTTGCTTCTAGTATAATTTCTTTTTCCTTGTAGGAACACACAGTCTTCTTCCAGGTTAGGCTTGTAAATAGCAACTCGCCTATGACAAGGAAGACTTTCCTCCAGGAAATAAGGCAAATTTTTTAATTTTTAAAAGGAGGAATTTTTTCAGGGTCACATATAGTGGCATTTCAGAGATAGCAAGTTAAACATGTTTTTACTTATTTGCAAGGTTGATTTAGTGTGATATCAGACCACAGCATAAGAGAATAGCCTGGTGTTTGATAGGGCTCGTCACTGATTGGTTGTTAGTCTATTGTATTATGCTGTTGAATTATTTATTAGCAATATTTATATACTGATTCTCCTTTTAAACAAATCTTGAGGCAATTTACAAAAGAATAAAAAGTGTAGACAGTAATTTTAGAGAACTGGATCTTTGCACTCATTTGTACTGTAGGGAGTCCTAATGTGCTGGTAGGGGGAGACACAGAAAACAAATTATGTTATTGAGGGAGTTAACAGCATGGCAGAGACAGCAGAATAGCATGGCAGAAACAGAAGATGAATTATGTTTTTGGGGGAGTTATTAACTATGAGCATGGCTGTCATAGTATGCATTCACTGACAGAACTTGGATATGATTCAGTATTAGTTTATATCATCTTTTTGGGCTCATGGTCACTTTTGAAATTTTAAGGCAATGCTGTGGGCATCACAATCAACCAAGTTGCTGTAGATGACATGGTCAATCAAAACATGCCCAGAAAATCAGTCAGATTTTATAAATAAAATAAATAATCAAGAATGTTCATTATTTTTATACTACCTCCCAATCAAGTTAAAGCTTATATTCTTATCTATAATTGCCGTAATAGAACTCACAATTCCAGTGTTTGCAAATACTGCTACAATAAAAATGTATGGATCTGAGGCATGGATCCATATGATTTTTGCAAGGGATGCTAACATATCCACAGTTGAAGCACAAAATATATCTGGTTTGAGGGATATCCTAGGTACACATTTTGAGACTCCATAAGGACCAATGCCTTAGATCCAAGGCTTGGGCCATGGCAGTGCTGGCAAGTTCCACAGCTATGTTTTGGAATGCTATAAATTGTGATCTCCATAAGCACATATAAACTGGATAGTGATTTAGTGAGGATCTTGTGTAAAATTCATGGAAATTCAAAAAGTCTGTCTTAAATTCTCTCAATCCTACTTTTAACCCTACACCATGGAAAAATAAAAGTG